TCTCTGATTCTAGTGAATGGAAGTTAATGAAAAAATTCAGAAATATTCTACTATACGAGTAGCACATAGAATTTTTTCAAATGTTTCCATCCATAATATATATAAAATAAAAACTCGTAAAGCTTTTAAATTTCCAAGTATTGCCAGATTTGAAGTGATATCCCTTTGAGTACGATTTTCAACATTTTTAAGTTTTATTCGAGTGGATGGAAGTTGATGAAAAAATTCAGAAATATTTTACTATACGAGTAGCATATAATTTTTTACGTTCGAAGCTCTCAACAAATTTAATAGCTCTCTATTATTGTTGCAATGAAATTTTCTATACATTTGCCATAAGACATTGCTCATTGAGTAAATACATTCTTGTACTCTATCAAAAATTCATTTTCCAAGGCTGTATAATACAATCGATAGATACAAGACTTCGATTTGAAACGAACAATTATTCACAGATTTAATTTAACTCTTTGTACTCGAGCAGCGCCGCTACGGCACGAANAATAATTAAAATAAATGATTAAAACGGAGAATTGAACGGAACGGAAATAGTTGATCGAGTAGAAATTGTCGCAGCACGTAATGCATCCACTGATCTTACCGGCAGTTTTTTGGACCCAATCTATCGCGTCGTCGATAGCCGTGTTAACGTCTTTTATCTCGGAATGTTTGTCAAGGAATTCGTCGAGTCTGTCATCGTCCTCGCTGAGCAGTTTCAATTCCTCGTTAGTCAAGCTGTTCAACTCCGGAAACGCGACGCTCTGCCGCGGCTTCGTTTGATTCGGCAACGACTGCTGCTGCTGCTGTTGTTGCTGTTGTTGCTGTTGTTGTTGCTGTTGTTGCTGCTGCTGCTGCTGCTGCTGGTAATTCGCGTTTACGTAGTGCGAATTCAAGTAAGTCGCGTGTTGATTCGAATTGTATCTAACCGGATCCGTGTTGCGAAGCGAACCCGAGTATGACGTCGTGTGTTGGGACGGAGAACCGAACTTCGTGTGGCCATCCGTCATGTACGCGTTACCGGAAGTCGAGTGATCGTAGTTATAAATATGAGTGTTCGCACTGGACGCGGACGAATACTGCGGGAACTGTGTGGCGTAATAAGAATTGTATGACGTTGGCGGGATCTCCTGGTATTGTTGCATCGAATACGACGGCGAATTCCTTCCTTGTAAATCTAAAATAAAAGGAAAATGTACATTAATGCTTTCACCCTTTTTATAAAGGAGTATAGTTATAATCATTGTCATACGTTAATGTCATAGTATTTTTAACAGATAGAGAAGAATTGAAAGAAATGGTTCGAAAATTAGAAAAATATTTGGATGAGAAGCACCTAAGTTTAAATGTAAAAGAAACAGAAATTATGGGATTTTTAAAAGGAGGAAGAAGTAAAATGATTGGAAGTTAAAAAACGAAGAAGTGAAGGAATTTACTTATTTAGATATAATATTTTGTAGAAATTGAAGTGTGGAAAGGTACTTGAAAGACACTGAAAAAAGGAAATATAGTAATAAGTGGGAATAGAAGAGGGAAACTTTAAGATTATATAAACCGTAAACTCCATTAGTTTAAAAAATGTTATAAACAGCTACTTATATTCAATATTTGAAACGATAAACTTGTAGGAAGTGATATTTACAGAGAAGTAAGATTTATTGAATTGTTCGTGTTTTGTTAAACCACTGGAAATCTTTAACACATAATTTCTACTATTCTAATACAATTGTACCTGACTTGCAGTCTGTCTACATTGTCTATATGTTCTATAATTATTGCTTTTGCTTACTTTTTATTGTATATCTTAAATAATATNATTCCGTCTACATTTTTGTCATTCAACATAAGAATTCAAAATGTAATAACTTTTTTAATAGCCTCGTAAAATTTCAAGTGTTTTAATAACATTGTTTTATTAACTTAACATCTAATAACTTAAAATTTCAATGCTTCGTCATTTGTTTTATGTAAGGACTCAAACAACCTTGCAGGACTACTATTTCATAAAGTAATATTGGAAAACCAGAGAGATATGGAACTCTAAGAACGAAACAAGTTTCGTCTCGTTTCTTATTCATGTTACTTCTACTTCAACGAAATTAAATCACATCTTTTCTTCAATTCGTCAGTCAGTAGAACTTCATAAATATTCATACCAATTTCAAAACTGAATAACTTTTTTAATAATGGATCTGTGGCGGACTGGCCTAGCGATGGGCCACATGGTCCTTTTGGAAAATATTTCAAATGAAATCACCAGTGCTAATTATTTTGTCACCTATTCCCACAGATCAAACAATTTAATATTCTTTGAAATGTCAGAAGAATTTCAATACTTCGTCATTGTTTTTGTATAGGAACTCAGTTTTAAATGCTAGATGTTTATGTCTGAATATTTATCACTGAGGATTATGTCGTATATAAGTAAACAAATGTAAATAATTTAGTACAAGATATGGTATGGATCTTCTGAAAGTACGTGAACGAATGTTAAGTTAGACATTAAGTTTTGTAGTAATCTCCATTTCATACTTAACAGGTAAAAATTATAATAAATCTAATGTACTTTCTCCTTCGTGTTTGAACGTACCTCTGTGCAACTTCGCGGATCCAGGAGAGATGTCTTTTAATTGCGGAGGGTTTCTACTAAACTCTCTAATGATAGCTTGAACGACACGACCTAGATCGCTGTGCACTGTAAACTGACAACAGAAAATGATTCTCGCTCTTCTTTTTATAAATTTTATTCATATTATTAAGAGAGCTTACGTTAAGTAACCCCGGGGCACTTGTGATTTCACTGTGTTCGTTGCACCAAGGGTGGTTTATAGGTGGCGAAACCTTGAGCACTGGCTTTTCCAACGGAAACTCTGGCGACAAAGAGACCGTAATAGCCATTCGCCTATCCTCAGTGTTGAATTGTACTTGATATTCCACATCTTCTCTTAATTCTACTACACTGTAACGAGAATTAATTTGTTAATTGAATAAACCTCGTTTACAGTAAAGATATGGTCAAGGTTGCATGTAATTGGACAATAAACGATCCAGATGAAAGGTGAAACAAAGAGATTGATCTCAATAAAATTGGGCGTGTACCAAAGACGATATCGTTAATTATTGCGTGATGGACGCGAACAAAGGTACGAGTAGGAATTTATATATTTAAGAAGCTCGAAACGCGTTTTTCAGTTCTCATGAAGTGAGAATCATAGAAATCGTTGTTTCGAACGAATTGCCTGAAAGTTGAAATACATAATCGCGACGCGATTGATTACTAAATAGTCAGGTTAACGCTAGCGAGGTTACGAGTGCAGTGTTGCTTACTTGTCGTTAAAAATTTTCAGGGTGTCGATTTGCCGTTTTCTCTTGACTGCGACGTTCTCATTTTCGCCACGGAATATTCGCGATATCATTTAAAACGATTAAATCTAAATAAAACATTCGCTTTTATCCTTCGACCTTCCTGTCAAAGTAACCATCCAACCCAACAGCAGAACAGCTGTTTCTTTCGAGTCGCGGACGACACTCGCCTAACTTCACGGGATATGTACAGAGAATCAGCAATTACATACATACGTACAATTTGTGTGCTACATTGAGCTATATAAAACATGTGGAGTGTAAACGAATGGGGGGGTGGGTACGTTCGTAGACAAAGAGGAACTGTGAAGGAATCTCTTTCTCTTTTTAGGTGTATAATGCATGTTTTCTGAACCTGAA